ATAAACTTATTTTCCATGCACGACGTGAAATAAAAAATGCTTGAACATGATGATTCAAACTTAGAAACAACTAACGGCGCTGGTTACACTTCAGCCCATCAAGGATTTTATCAAGCCAAATGCATCGATTTCTTCCTCTTCTTTCTTTCTTTCTTTCTTTTCTCGTTTTTGTCCCTTCGTTTCTCTTTCTTCCCTCCCCTGCTTTTTTCCACCGCGCTTCCCCCACCTGCTCTCAAAAGATACGGCGATGGCGGCAAGGCTGAAGCTCCCCCGCCCCGCGCGCACATGCCGGCGGTCTAGCAGAGGCGGAGGGACGGTGACGTCATCTGTATCTGCTCGGGAGGATTTTGGCGGGCCCCATTTCCAACCCCCCCTTCCTTCTCTCTCTCTCTGTCTCACCCCCCCCCCCCCCCCCTGCTCTTTCGGCTTTTGCCTTCGCTTCCGTCCAACACAATCTCTCTCTGTCCCACCCTTTCTCTCTCTGTAATCTCCTCTCCTCCTCTCTCTCGTACAAACTCAACCCCACCCCCCACTTCGCACGCCTCAAATACCCTCTCTCTGTCTCTCTGTCTCTCTATGCATCTCACATTCTTTTCTGCCTCTGCGTCTGCAACTGGAAGGAAGGAAGAATCGGCTCGGGAGAGAGGTTGTGTTGGGGGATGAGGAAATCTGGTCGGATCTTGCTCTGTAGGATGTGCATTCTACTGGGTCTTCCTCGTATATCGACCCCGTGCTCTCTTCTTCGTCGCCCTCCTCCTCCTCCCCTGTCGTAGCGGCGGCGGAAGTGGAGGAAGAAGAGGCGCTGAACCCTCGCGAGGAGTTTCTCTGTTTTCTCTGGGGGGGGCCCCGCCAAAATGGGCACTGCCGCAGAGCCTCGGTTCCACGTCTTGGCCGTCGACGACAGCCTCGTCGATAGGAAGCTCATCGAGAGGCTCCTCAAGATTTCCTCTTACCAAGGCACTCTCTCTCTCTCTCTCTCTCTCTCTCTCTCCCTTCTCTCCCCCTCTCTGCCCTTTGTTCTTTCTCGGATGAAACGAAGAATGGGTTCTTCAAGAAGTTGGCTTAGCTCTTCTGGTTGTTGCTTTGTTTTTTTTCCTTTTCGGGTGTTTTCATATCTCGTTCTCTTTTGTTCTCACTTTGTTCAATTCTTCCTGTTGCCATTTGCAGTGACTACAGTTGATTCTGGCAGTAAAGCTCTGGAGTTTCTGGGTTCCCGTGGAAACGATGACCGAAGCAGCTCCGATCCTCTCCCGTCCGTTTCGCCGAACGATCATCAGGTAATGCGTGCTTCAGTTTCGGCATTTTTTCTCCCTTTCTTTCACTCGGGAGTTTTCTTTTTCCTGTCCATTTTTTCGATTTCCTGGGGGTTCAGCCGTGCGGCTCATTCTGACGTCCAATCAACTGATTAACAGGGAGTGGAGGTGAATCTCATCATCACGGACTACTGTATGCCCGGAATGACCGGGTTCGACTTGCTCAAGAAAATCAAGGTACGCCCTCTGGATTCTCTCCTCTCCCCTCTTTTTCATGATCACACGTATTCTTTCTTTCCCATTCGCGCTTTTTCTTTTCTTTTTCTCTTCTCTCTCGGTCGTCTTGTAGGCATCGTTTTCCTTTCCGGGAAAATTTGGCCCCAGGCGTGTCTTACCAGATTGATTGATTTGCTTTCGATAAATTGACAAAGTCCAGAAAGTGGCTAACATGCACGTGTCTGAATGTTTCTGTTCGTGGGTCGTTCCATTTTTATCTCTTTGAGGCCCCTTTTTCCCTGCCCACTTGCTTGGGAATTTCCATGATAGTAATCTCCAAGAATATATTCCCTACCTGTTTTCCCAGTAATAGTAAAGGCTGACTGATCACAGATCTGTCGAGCCAAGAAAACAAAGAAAAGCAGGACAGAACAGGGCTATCAGGTCTAATCCGCGAGAACCTTTTCTCTTTGGCAAACCCCTTTTTCTCCTTTCAGAATTCGAATGTCCCCCTCAAAATTGAATTTTCCTTAACTCATAGATAGCCTCTACTTTTCTTTTTTTTTTGGTGCAGATTGAAAGTGCATTCTTTTACTTAATCCTAGAGAGTACTGGAAAGAACTGGTGTATGCAAATCTCATATGACTTGTGTTCTTTCGCAGGAATCTTCATCTCTGAGAGACATCCCGGTGGTCATTATGTCATCCGAGAATGTCCCTTCAAGGATCACCAGGTAAGAGCAGCATATACTACTGTAGGAAAGAGAGAACTTCCTCAATGTTTGTGCTCAAATGTTCCGGACTTTTGGGAGGACGGATGGTGTTTTGTTAACGGGTGTGTTTCATTTGGGACGATGCAGATGCTTGGAAGAAGGGGCGGAGGAATTTCTCCTGAAGCCGGTGAGATTATCGGATGTGAATAAGCTCAGACCCCACATAATGAGAACCAAGAAGCTCGAGAATCCGAAACAGGAATCACGAGAAGAATCAGAGGGACATGGTGAGATTCGATCGCAACCACCACCGCGCCAACATGAACTCGAAACCCAACAGGGTCAACACCATCAATCCCAGCAGCAGATTCAACCACACCAGCAACAGAAATCCAGCAATAACAACAAGAGAAAGGCCATTGACGTTGAAGAAGGCCTTTCGCCCGACAGAACAAGAACCAGATACAGCGGAGTCGCCACTTTCTGATGAATCACTACACACCCTTCAATTTTTTTGTGGCCATGTATCTTTTCACTAATTTTCTCCTTCACATCCCATTCCTGCTTACTGCTGGAGCATACAGATCAGAGAGAAGCGCTGCAGATTTTCTTTTTCTTTTTTTTTTTGGCTTTTTTCAGGTATATAGATCTTAAATGAAGTAGTTGATTCACAGCACACCCCTTTCTAATCTTGTCCAATCTCAATCCAACGAAAACAAGAGTTATAGAAGGAAACCACATGGGAAACTTATGCTATGTTTGGGAACAAAGGGGCGAAGAAAATTGGGGAGGAAAAATGCTACAAAGTTCAGAAAATTACCCCCAAATTTATCTCACAACAGTTTAAAATTTCTTTTAAATTTCCACCCAAATTAAGTTTTTGAGCTACATGGTCAAGATTTTAAGCGAAGTTTACCTCAGATTAACATGCACCAGAGCAAGGATAGTTTGCATCAACACATTAGACCCCACAAAAATCCTCCTCGTATGCTTATTAGCAAGTCAATGGAGTCATTATGTCGAAAATTCCAAACGTGCATTAATTAGCCTTGTGCTACCGGTCACCACCGTTACACGAACTATGACACCACCAACCAAACTTGGTTCGAGCACATAAAAAAGAGTGAGAGCGAAATTATAAGTTTTCCAACCAAACTTGGTTCGAGCACGTAAAAAAGAGTGAGAGCGAAATTATAAGTTTTTCGTTTGTTTTGCAGAAATGAATGATTTAAAATAATTTTTTTTAAAAAGTGATCGCTTGAAATAATTTAGTCAATAAAAAATGTTATAATTATTTACAATAATTTATATTTATATTTTCACGGACGGTAAATTTTTTTAATTTACTTTTATATATTTAAAAATCTACATAAAGTGCCAAAAGAAGTATCAATAAGGGGTATGCCTTCGCTTCGGCTCAACTTTGGAACTAGACCGAATCGGCCTTACCTGGTAGGTTCAAGGCCGGTTCGCACAGGAATCACCGGTTCCAAAGATTTCTAACGGGCTTCGCTAATCCAAATCTTGATTCAGGATCTTGAACTATTGGTTCTACCCAGGGTCGAACAAGTATTGATCGACTTGCGAGCTTCTTAATTTGTGTTCTTCCTCGTTTGTTCGATCATATTCGTGTGTTTCTTTCCAGTTTTCAGTAACGATGTCATTTAGACATGCTTGGTTTTCGCTTAGTGAAAGTTGTCGGACCGTGATTCTTTGAAATCGCCAAAGCCAGCACAGTTCGATCCACTTGGATATGTGATCTTCGAATCCTGACCGGGGCCCTTCTTCCCGTTCATGTTTAACATTTAACATTTTGATACAGTCTATGGACTAAATCGAACACGTGTTAAAAGTTCAATGACCACAATGAACAAATTAAAAATCCGGGGACGAACATTGCACATTGGACTAAAGTTCAGGGACCAAATTGAACAAATTTAAAGATTCATGGAGAAATCGCCAAAGCCAGCACCGTTCAATCCACTTGGATATGTGATTTTCGAATTCTGATCGGGGCCCTTCTTCATGTTCATGTTTAACATTTAACGTCGTGATACAGTATAGGGACTAAATTGAACACGTATCAAAGGTCCAGGGACCACAATAAACAAATTAAAAGTTCGGGGACGAACATTGCGCATTGAGCTAAAGTTCAGAGACCGAATTAAACAAATTTAAAGATTCATGTAGCACATTGCACATCGAGAACATCAGGAACTATTTGTGTCTAGTGCTCCGACTTGGGACGATATGTCGTAAAATCTCAATAGAAACATTTTCTTCTTAAAGAGAAAAACAGCGATATCGCAATATCCTATTAATTAAAAGATGGCGTTGTCAACACAGAAGATCAAACTTTCGCCGCGGGCATCCCACGGAATGGACCGTGACATTGACAATTTACAGCGGCTGCGCGGAGGCGAGGGGAGGGAAGGCTGCGTTGACCTAACTTGACCTCGATCCCCACGTGGGCCGCACTCCCTCCCTCCACGTCCGTCCGACGTGTCACGCCTCCCCACTCTCCAATATATATATATATATATATATATATGCGGCTCCTTTTTTTTTTTTTCCTAATTGGGTGCAATTTTTTTTTTAAAGAAAAAGCAAAAAGCAAAAAAAAAAAAAAAACACTCGCCAGACGCGGACAAAACACAACAAGAACCGTACCGAACCGAACCTCCCCCAATTGCGTCACCGAAAGCTTTTGATCACCCCAAAACAAATTCCCTCTCTCTCTATCTCTCTCTCTCCCCACAATCGCGGCCGAAATCCGAGTTCTCTCCGCCGCGGATTCGCCGGAAATCCTCCAGGTGAGCTCCGATTCCGGCTCCTTCCTCCTCCGATCCCGAGCTCTGTTTGCTCGACGGTTCTTCCTTCTCCTTCTCCTCCTCCTCCTTCGGGAAGGTCTTGGTGCCGTCGTTGATCGAACGCGTCCCGGCGAGATGCGCGGTGGGTTTGTTTCTGCATTCGTTCGTGCATGTTTGGGTGATTTTCCTAGTTTCTATACTCGTGCTGGATTTCCGGTTTGCTCGGCGTTAGGGTTTTAGGATTGGTGCGGGCCGTTGGGAGAGGGGGGGGGGGGGGCGCTCTGGGGTGGCGAGCGCGAGCTCCTCTTGATCCCGTGATCGGGCGCGTTCTGAAACCCTAGGGCTCTGTTTCGGTCGTCGGGGGGTCGTGTGACCGGGATCGGATTCCCTTTGGCTGAGGAGAAGTAGGCGAAGTGATGGCTTGGTGAGGGGTTTTGGTTGAGTGAGCCGTTTCTAGCTGGAACGAAAGCCGATGATCCGGTTGGTATCGGAGGCTTTATTGATGGGTTTTTCCTCGTTCTAGATTTTTTTGGCGAGCTGTAGTAATGGTGTTACGGCTTTTTCGGGTTTTGGAGATTCTCTTCATGATAGCAAGTTGTGTGAGTTTATGGATTCTAGATGAGTAGCAGAGACAAATTACGGAAAATCGCATTTTCTCGCGTTCTCGTGAAAGGAAATATCTTTTTCTCGTCCGTAGAGAGTACGCATGCGCGCTTAACAATGCCTTTATTGTGACTTAACTTTCCGAGTTAATCTAAACCTTTGCCTTTACACGTCAACGATAATTTTAAGATGATGATTTACCCTCGGCGATATGTTCTGTGATAATCCCATTTCCAAAACAGGACCGAACGCAATGGGGCTGGAGAGGATTCAGTCCACTGAGTAGGATAAGGTTCTTGTTGATGTAATTTGTTGTTTGAAAAGAGTTCTCTGTAATTTTGGATGCTTGACAGACAGAATCGTGCCAATGACCCAAATGAGTTTCGGCATTAGAAGAAATAAACCATTCGAATGATTCTCCTGACCTGAACTTCTCGAGTACATTCATTCACACAGTGCACGTGAAATGTCTGGAAAACAGGAAGCCCTACAATCAGCAGTTACTACGATTATAGAAAAAAAAACCCTTTATTTCAATTTCTGTTTTTTTAATGCTAAGTTAATCATGTCTTTATGTAGTATATTTGTACTTTTTTTCTGTTTCGATGAAGGATTTTCCCGTTTAGTTGCCTTTGTTGCGACATGTGATAATCCAGATCTTTAGCTTCTCTGTTCGGAGAATTTCCTCTGGACGATGATTTTTTACATGATTAGATGCAGTTTCTGAACATTTGGATGTTTTTGCTGCCATCATTATTACATTCAAGAAATGCTGTTTGTTGCAATCAGCGTCCCCTTGTACTTCATATTGCACGTTCTGCTTATATGATTTGTTACTGAAATGTGGATTTTTTGCTCTCCTGCATTTGATTGCAGTTTTCTGCTCGCTGACATATTGTAATCCTAAGCTGAACATCTGAACTTTGTCAGTCATTCGATGTGGCTCTAGGAGACAATTTCTCCAATCTGTACTTTACTTTCTTCCCGTAGGCCCAGAATCTTCAAGCATGTCAAGTGGAACAGATAGGAGAGTCTCACGTCAAGATATACAACTGGTAAGCGGGAAAATGAGTTTTCTGTTCTTGCGTGATCGATTCGTCAAGTTTTTATATCCTTCACAGAATCTTGATATAGAAGTCTGACCTTTTTCTGTTTGTTGTTTCTTTCTTACAGGTTCAAAACCTGATCGAACGGTGTCTACAGCTTTACATGAACCAGAAGGAAGTCGTGGATACACTGTTGGAGCAGGCGAAAATTGATCCTGGTTTTACAGAACTTGGTACCTAAACTTTTTTATTTCATTGATTGTTATATCATCATTTGTTTTACTCGAATCACGTAGGCATCGTGTAAAAAACATCACGCTATGCCAATCAACAGCATTTTGTTTATATTTTGGAAACATTTGTAGCGTATCTTGAGAGCATTAGGTGATATGTTGTAGACATTTGTAGTGTATCCTGAACATAATCAGACGCGTTTGCATGTGCAAAATTCTTTATAGCTATTGGTTTGGAACGATGAAAAGGTTAGACTTGGACCTAAAGTTCCATCAAGATCTAAGGTGCCGATGAGTTATTTATTCTTTATGGAGAATTGTTTAGGGAAATACTGTGAACATCCCGAGATGCTTTTACTCATCCCCTATAGGCACTCAAAGGAAACCCCTTGTTTCCCAAAAATTTTCAGCATGTGTGAGAATTTAACTGGATGAATGTCACACTATCAAAGTTGAAGTCCAAATCGTGCAATTAAAGTATTAGGGATATTCTTTCGTCATGAAAGCTCTTTCATTTCTTTCCCAGGCAGGCAATATGTAATTTGTTATTGGGGGCCGGGGGGGGGGTTAAATGTAATCGAATGTCTTTCTTTCCTTTACTGAATATTTCCAAGCCTGCTACTTGACCGAAAGAGAACCTGGCAAATAAATAGTGGGGCTTGCAAATGATGGTTCCTGTTGCTTCCGTATGAAGATGACAGTAGATAGACATGGCCAGGACCTCTCCTTTTGCTTATCTGTAGTTAGGGATACCCTGTGTGCTTTCTGGGGAATGGAGACCAACTTAGTCAGCTTTTCCGTTTTCTTTTCCTGAAAATTAGGGCAGAGGAAAGTACTTTTTTGGCTGAGTTATCTGGCCTCTCATAAAGTACTCTTGCTATGTTTTCCTTGAGAATATTGAATTTGACCAAATCCCTAACTGCCTAGTCCTGAACTTAAGCGTTCACAATTTCACTTGCGAGCTGTTAATATTGCTGGTTGTTGGACATAACAAGAATTTCTGTCGAGCGTTGGGCTTTCAGTTATTGCATTAGAACAAGAGCTGGTAAACTTCCAGTAGAGGTTGGTACCATGCTGTACCTTCATGAGTTCGGAAGTTCTGCCATTTCCTTAAGAGTCCTATTCAGATAGGACTTTTCCTAGTAAATACTATTTGTTGATTTTTTCCAGTCTGGCAAAAGCTGGAGGAGGAGAACCGAGAATTTTTCAAGGCCTATTACTTGAGACTGATGGTAAAACACCAGATAATGGAATTCAACAAGTTGCTTGAGCAACAGGTTCAATTAATGCGGCAGATGCAATCTAGTGGAGCGTCGGGTCTTCCAACTTCTAATGGAACTCATATGCCAACATGTAAGATTGTTTTTGCTACGGTTAGACATTTTGTTTCTGTTGACTGTGACGAACACTTTCTGTGGTTACTATGATATTCAGGATAAGTTCATTATCTACCCTCAAATAATACTGTTTTTTTTGGGTCAAAAAATAATACTTGAAGTGTGCAAATTTGCATTTGAAACTCTTATTCTGTTGTTTCCTCATAGTGTTACCTAGCATAGTGGGTTTTTCCTTTGTTTTCATTGTTGGTCATGCATATGGTCTCGTATGAGTGAATTGGAGTAACAAATGTTGTTTTATGAGGTGAACCTTTTATATGTCTGTGCTTATTGGCTCAGAACTTTTAACGTAGATTGTTCTCCCTTCGTTTCTACTCATTTTTTTTTGGGGAAAGAAGCAGATAATTTTCTAGAGAAAATAACTGTTGAAATGGAAAGAACAGATGTTTATTCACTTTTAAATTCTGTTCACAGAAATGATATGGTGCTCATTCTGTTTTCCATCTTCTGGGTTTTACATCCTGCAAGTTCCATTCCCCAACCCACCTGCAGCCCGCCCTCCTTTTCCGTTGTTTAATTTATACCTTAGTCTACTAATATCACTTGGCAATGCGTTTAACAGTACCTCAGAATCCAGCATGCTATACGACAGGACCAGCATTGAGCGCAGAAAACATTCAGCGATCCATTGGTTCTGGTTTAACCAATGCATTCGCCAATGGTGGCCCGCCACTTCCTACAAGTTTGCACACTGCAATGCAAATGTCTGCGCATGCCAGTAGGATTGATGCTCCACCAACTATGCTTTCTAGTCAGACCTCAAACATGGGGGGTCTGGGGCCAGGGATTAATGGGGGAATGATTAAAACTGAAGCTGGCTATTCTGGTGCTTCACCGTACATGTTTGGCTCTGATCACAATGTCCTGGAAACACGTCCACCTATTGGCGACACATCTGTTGCATCCTTCAGTAGTGTAGACTCTACATCGCAACCCATTAGTGAACCCCTTTTGGATGCAGACACTTCTTCATTTGGTTTTTTGGGTCAGATACCCAGAAATTTCAGTCTATCAGACCTGACAGCAGACTTCTCTCAAAGTTCGGGTTTGTCTGGTTTGTCCTTTTCTCTTTCCATGTGTGCCTAGAGTTGATCGTACATCATCCTTTTGGCATATGAATGTCCACTGAGATCCAACTTTTCCTAGATTTGAGAATTGTTGGTCTCGATACATCTGCGTCAATAGTATGTATTTTGCTATGTGATAGCATCACGAATAACACTTTGGCTCTAAATTTGTTCAGATATACTGGAGAGCTATCCTCGTTCACCTTTCTTAGCGACAGATGCTGACAACTTTCTGGATTCTCGTGAAAGGGGAGAACAAGGTAAGTATCCTCAATAAGGATCTTTGTTGCCCAGATGCAAAGACCTACTCAGATAACTGTATCGGTGTTACAGGAGACAATAGGCGGTTGGATACTATATCAGAAAGCTTGAATTATGGAGATTTTGGCAGTGAATAGCACATTTTGGCGGTGAATAGCAACTATTTGAACGGTACGTTGATGCTGATTATGCTGTTTATGGGGTTCTTGTCTTTTGGATGGATGAGAGCATGTTGCCCTGAGCTGGAACTCTTTTCCTAAGCTACTGTCACTTGTTTTGTGTTTACAAGCAGGTATATCATCGTCGTAGGAGAAAAGAGTGTGTACATAGTCACTTAGAAGGAAGATGCTTAAGACTTGGTCCTCGAAGATATCGATTGTTTTGTAAAAAAAAGAATTGTTGACTGACATCCCGGGGTTAGTGACGAGGACGATGGGAGCGCACTTGTTCTTGGAGAAAGAGAGATGAATAATGTGGGAGCTGGGACTTATATATGACTCCGGAATTCATCGAGATGAATTATTTAGGATTGTGCTAGGATTTATTTATTTTGCTGCATTTGGTGTGTTTGAAGGTTTTAGCGGCCTGTGATTTGACTGCTTCTTTTAGGGTACACGGACACAGGTTTTGATGTTGACTGATGTGGTTTGCCTTTCCTTTTGCTTTTGTTGCTCCCTGTTGGCATTGTGTAATTGTTTGATATGTGTCAAATGTATATATCAGTTTCGGTACCTTTGAGGAAAGCTTAAACGCAGTGGTTTTGGTTATTTTTTCTTCTGTTGCTTCCCCCTGTTTTTTTTTTTTCATTCACTTGAGTGTTCCTAACATCAGCTTTCGTTTTTTCTAAGCGTTGAAGGTGTGTTTTATGTTATCCAGTTGGGCTCTTGGCTAGGCTGGGAAGTGCATGCGTCGGCCTACTTTTTGCTATATTAACGACTTGAGGAGTGTCTTCTTTAGGGGCGAGCAGGCTGTGGTTTGATGTGATTTAGACGTCAAAGCAAAATCAAAACGTATCGTAATAGGAATAAAACCAACTTAACTTTGGCATTTGGTTCCGTTTGAAACCGAACTACACCGTTATTCATTCTCAATTTTTCTTTCTTTCGTTGAAGTCACCATACTAGCTTAGAAGCATTAAACTTCATGAACAAACCAAAAGTCTATACTCAACAATACATAGATTCGCCACAAATGGAAATAAAACTTACTTCGAATAATCTATGTTGGCCCTAGACCAAACTAGGAAAGATGGTCTGGTTTAATTTGTAAACCATGTGCTCGAAAAAGTACTCGACCAAACCAAATCGCAGAAAACAGTGCTTCAAGTTTGGTTAATGGTCAGAACCCTCTTCTGCTAACCCATATACATGAACATGCACTTGAGATGAGTTGAAAAGAGCTTTCTGCAGATTAAGTGTATGTCTTGTTAAAAAGAATTGTCTTGAAACCTTCCATTGCTCCACTAAAGAATGGTTAAAAACCACCAACAGGCAAACGCTATCTTTGTAAATGGGAAGAAAATATACTGAGAACAGAAGCCATAGATTAGATACGACAAATCCTGTTCCCTCTCTCGTACTCACGGCTAAACTAGTTTTCTTTGTGGTAGAGAGCAAATGGCAAAACCAAGAATCACTGGGAAGCAGAGAACCATAACTTTGACATCATTTCCAGAGTTGTTACACTAGGGATAGAAGCTAGGACAGGGCAAAGCACCTACGAGGTCTCCCAATTTGGGGCAAGCAACTAAGACGGTCCAGTCCTAAGAGCAGTGTCCAAATCAGATATCAGATCAGTCACATCCTCGATTCCCACGGATATTCGAACGATATCCTCTGTCAGGCCCCGAGCTTCGCGGACCGCGGCTGGTATGCTGGCGTGGGACATAAAGCATGGCATGCTGATGAGGGACTTCACACTCCCTGTCAATCAAATTTAACAAGTGAAAGATTCAAGTTAACCTCAAAGGTGGCTGTGAGCACTGATTGGCACAGTCCACGCACATTCCATTCCAAGCATTCGAAATGTTAATTCTCAATCCACTTAGTTTTTTTTTTTTTGGGGGTCAAACAATCCACTTAGTTCAGTAAACAGATTCTTCTGCAAATTTAATCAAGCGGAAGGTAGCTGCTTCGTGTTTATATGGATTTTTTTTCTTGTACTTTACCGAATTGGAACTAGCTAGATCCCAGAAGTATTAACCATAATTCAGTAAGGACCGACTGGCCAATGATATTTCGAACGTGAGGTTGTATCAGATGAGAAAGAATTAAGCGAGACTCACTCTAAGAAGCAGATTACAAACACCGAGTGGTGCCTGTTGCTTCATATATTTATAAAGATATGTTGAAAGACAAAGTAGCACAATATTCCACCATGTGATCTTTAAGATGAAAGGAACTACACATAATGGTGAGAATTTAATGTAATCATCCGCCATATATAAGGTTTACTGCATGACGCACTAATTTCACATAAGGATGAAACTGCTAGAGTTAGGAGCAAGTTTAGTTCAGGGAAATTACCAAAACTAACAGTTATACTGAAGTACTTGGTGGTCTCAACAATATGCTTTGACAGCGCCACGGACCCCGTTACAAAGCTAAGCACAGCTCCAGCACCCTTAGCCTGCAATTGACATTTAAGGTCAATCTAGATTCTTCAGCACCAAAGTAGGGAGTCTCAGTTCCGCCGAGTACCTGAGCGTAGTGTAAAGCACGCCCTGGATGATCAGGGAGACCTGCATAATAGACTTTCTTCACTCGGGGATGGGACGATAGAAACTCGGCTATTTTCTGTGCATTCTCCTGTCCAAAGATGTACAATGGTTTCAAGATCAAATTTCTTGGTGCGCTTAGATTAGCATACCGGATGCTTATTCCAATGAAAGTGGGAAAAGCACATTCAAACTGAAAAAGCAGGTAGTCTTAAAGCAGACATAAAGCTGCACCTGTTGCTTCTCAATCCGTAAAGCCATGGTCTTAATACCTCGCAAGCAGATCCAACAGTCAAATGGAGCTAGACCAGAACCTTCGGCATTTTGGAGGAAATATAACTGTTTTGCCAAGCTGGAACATGTAAAAACAGGGGAATAAAACAAGAAAATTTTTTTGAGCGTTGACAAGGGCAAAGGTCAGCAACAACCAAATGTCAGAAGGAAAATAAATCAAAGAAAAGCATTTTAACATGAAGCTAACATCGTCCAGTGAGCTATGAAATAGTTATGCAACTACCTACATGAGATTTGTTCCATTGGAAAGGCAAGGATTGCATGCAAGGTTTCTCCAAATTTAATAATGGAAAACCACATAGAACATAACAGGTGCTTTCACCAAGAGACTGGTTGGAGAATAAACTGAAATTACACCAGTTATACCAAAGACAAGAGACTTGAAATAGTGAAACACATAATGCTAGAAATCCAAAATATATGGTGCCAAGCAATATGAAAAAACATGTGCAACAAATGAAATTTCAAGTCCTGTTAACTCTTGGATATCATCTTATAACTCAAAGTTCAGATAAACTGATTACTGAATAGCCCATCCAGAAAGGGAAATCATGGTAACTAAGTACTTAATTAGCCAAACATTGAACTTTTATACAGAAGACCAGTACATGGAAAGCTTGTATTAAAGTGCAAATCTGGCAAGACAGTTTTTTTCCTTTTTGCCCGACTATAGAGCGAAGTGAAGCATGTGAGCAGATGATCGTATGCATCAAGGACTTCAAAAGGGTTTTGCAAGAAGCAATATGTAAATTTGAATAAAATTGACATTGAAGCCGCTACTTTTTCACATCTAACAGCGACACCTAACAGTAATCAAGATTAAAATATTGACTTCCAGATCTACAGCTCGTACAGATACCAAGGTGGGTTTCCTCTATTCATAACTATTTGCAGATGCCTTCTCAAGAGAACTACTTTCATGTTTGCAGTTCTTACCTTTCCCCTTTCACCGCAAGCACACCCGCCATGACATCACTATGCCCAGATATGAATTTAGTGGCAGAATGCATGACAATATCTGAAGAAAGGACACGTAATAATAAGCAACATGCAATTTGCATTGGGTACATATTCAAATAACATCTACTTCAAAATCTGGCCACCTGCTCCCAGTTCCAGTGGTTGTGATAATACAGGTGACATGATACTATTATCCACCAATACAAGGGCACCGCGTGCATGAGCTATCTCCGCTATTTTCTAGAAGGCACCAAGGAAAAGCATTTTTTCATCAGAGATATGCAACAGGGCAGTACTCTCACAAGAAACAACAAATCAAGTGAACAGCTGGAAACATATGCTGTTTTAATTTTAAATGCATCCACTGTCTGCATTACATACCACATGTGGAAAAAGATTTTTCCATAAGTTAACAAGATAACATTTCCATTTGTTTATGGGCAAGAGGTGTATCTTTCGAAGACAGAATTGATAATCCTTGATCTCATTGCAAAATAAATACTAATAGAAACTTCACGGGCATAACCAAAGGATGTGAACCTTACGAATTACTAACAGCATTGATTAAATGAAGCAAGGGGTCTAGTGTATGGATAGGACATCAATATCCACAATATTTATGAACACGCACCTAATTTATCCAATGTTTGCACTAGGATTTACACGAATTCAAACACCATTTCCTGTATATTAGTCGCTTGACAAAGATTATAACTCCCGCCGCTACTTAAGAATTTTCAAGTGACAATGTTTCGAAAAAAAGACGAAGAATAATTTTGTGCGGCAAACTTAAAATGGATGCAAGCACTTGCACAGAAGTGCACATGGATGTGTCTTCTGAAAGTACTTCTGCTAACCTGATAGACAAAGAAATCTGTGATGAAGGAGAGAACTTACTCGTATATCGGAAATTTGTTGCCGTGGATTGGTGGGACTTTCTAACCAGACAAGCTTGGTAGAGGGACCAACAGCAGACTCAACCTCATGTAGGTCACTTGTATTTACCCGCCTAAAACATTGATTTGGTAATTAAAATAGGTAAACTTGTTTTAGAAGAAATGAACGAAAGTAGAAATAAAACTGACTTCACCACAACTCCATATTTTGGAGTTACTTGAGACAACAGACGATCGGTACCACCATAAAGGTCATCTCCAGCAACAATTTCCTCACCTGCACATTTTTTTTTACCCCGTCTATTAGCACACGAAACAACAACAAACATCTCAATATTTCCAAGCAACCCCAAAAAAGAATACAAACTACTGATGATCCCAAATTCATTTTCATCAAGCTGAGTACTTACAAAACAGAAGCGAAATATATATGAAACAAAGCATGCAAAAGAGTAACTACCATTTGAAACAAGATGAGTGACGGCAGCCAAAGCAGCCATTCCGCTAGTGAAGCAAAATGCTCGATCGGCTTTGTCCAGCTTCGCGAGGAGGCTAAGGAATACAAACATCCGTAAAACATAAGTAAGCTCAAGAAGAATCCAGAGGCATCAAGCATGACCATACCTCTCTAGAGCATCCCGAGTGGGATTTCCACTCCTGGTGTAATCATAGGGACCATTTTCTGTGGCCGAAGGCTGCAAATTAGCTTGTCGAAAGTCACAAACAAGAAAGAATTCACCGTAGCATTCACAATGTTACAGACACCAATACCTTTCCCTTTTGGAAATTTTTTGCTTCTATTTTTCTTGGCCAAGACTAATCAAATAGGAACAAGAACTAGGCATCGATCGCAGGAAGTCCCATCGAATCTTACTTGCTTAAACGTAGCTGTTTGGTATATCGGCGTGCTGATAGCACCGTAAGGATCGAACTTGTTCTCGAAATTCATCAACAGCGTCGACACGCCAGGCTCCTTAACTTCAATCTCTGCAGCCACGACAAAACATCAGGCAAAAAAACAAGAGAGCAGCAGTTACGGCCAAAAGAACAATCAGAGAGAGAGAGAGAGAGAGAGAACCCTCACCGTGCGAGCACTCAGCGACGCCGTCCACGACGGCGGAAGCGCTCACGTCCATGTCCCTATCTTTACAGCACCTCAATTCCGACGACCTCCTCGCCCGCGACACCAATCGCTTCCCCGCCGAGCTCGCTCTCCCGTCGAACCGGAAGCTCGAGGAGATTCGCGCCGCCGCAGAACCCTGCGAGAAGAACCGCCGCCGCCGTCAGGGCCGAAATCAAAAACCAACCGAGAAACCGCGCGCGGTCGATCGATCGAACGCCATGTCGGTCGCGGAAACCGGGAAAGGGGAGAGAGAGAGAGAGCAAAACCGCGAGACAAAGGATTGCGAGGGCTCACGCGATCGTCGAGGAGCTCGGACGAGATCCGGCTAAATGCGGCGGACCTCACAGAAATGGAGGAGAGAGACATTGCCTAGCGCGCGAGATAGAGAGAGAGAGAGAGAGAGGGGGGGGGAGGGTTTTGGCGACCGGAGAGAGACTAAGACGGCGACGACAACAAGAAGCGACGCGAGCAAAGTACAGAGAGGTTGAGGTCGGACGGACAGGGTTTTGGTGCGACGACATCGCTCGTCTAGCGCGAGCGACAGGGAGTCTCTCCTGGCGAACATATTTCGAGTCCGGACCGTACGGAAATGGAAAAATGAAGCAAATAGATGTTGAATTTTGACCCACTACTGAACGTATGACTGAATTTTTTATTTATTCAATATGATTTCTAAACTTTATTTCAACGTGAAATATCATCTTGAATTATTAATTTATTTAGTGTGTTTCTCGAATTTTTAGTACATGTTCAAACTAATCCCTTATCTTGACGCTTCGTTTCTTTTTTTCCGTAGAGATTCCGCAATAAATTAGGTATGTGACAGCTCTGATACCAAAATGGACAATTAAAATAAACAAGTGAGATAGATATGCTATCCCCAAACACATCGGCACACTTTGTCATTTCAAGAAGAGTGCCTTTTAGTGTCCTAAGTATTTGCTTCTCAAAACTGAACACTTAAAGTTTCAGATTTATGATCCACAGGTTCCACATTGTAAGTGAATAGCATACTTAACCATATCACCTTACCGAACTGATAACAAGATTCTAGATTCTAATAGGAAGGGATCATTCTAGAAGAGGATGGAGAGACTTTAGAAAGCCAGGAGTTTAGAACACAACACGATTTTATTTCTTGGGCTCGGTTGCCTCTTCAATACACAATACATTGCCTTCTGTAGGCATAAACAGATGTGGGATTCCCAGCATTGGATTCTCATTATGGCCTAGACTTCTTAAGATATATATATATTTTAAATAGTGAGAAAATAAGCGATAAGGCTTGTTAATTTTGCTTTGCAATATGCAGTGGTCGCTTTATTTGAGCTTGTAGTTTTTTTGTCTCCTTCACGTTTAGGCTTCATGGGATCTTCGGACTGATTGAGATCGATGATTTCATTGATTGCGCTGACGGATTGCATTGAGACTGCAATCTGGGGGTGGAGATATTAACTTGCTGGAGCTGCTTTGTTGCGGACCAGCATGGATTGGCAGCAACTGTTCTGTTGTGCAGCTCGTGAAAATCGTTCATGTGGTTGTGCTACTTGGGGGATTCCCATGTCTCTCTCTCTCCTTCAATTTTGGGGGACATGTTGTTCCGTGACATTAACATAATGACTAGGCTGACAATTTGTAATCAAGGGAAGTGAGATTATTACATATCAAAGGTTGTAGATGGAGACGCCGGAACATCTTTACCGGTTACATCTATAGAATGTAGGAGAAGATTATATCGACTTGGGCATTAGAGGCCCTTGGCTTACGGTATATTGCAGTTGCAGCCGGGGATTAAGGCTCCTCCTTGGAGTTTTAAAAGGCGATGAATGAATTCCACCTCTCTCTCTCTCCTTGGAAGTTTGGTGCTCAGACCAGTTCTTAGTGAATAACCAAGAGACTGGTTTCCGGTTTCGTGTACTTAATCGAGCTGTTAGTGTCCAGTTAGGTTGATCTTGAATATAGCTACCTTAGCCTTAGTACGTATATAGAATGATGGGGAAGAATGATCTCACATCTTCACCATTTCTTTTCATATGGTTGACAACAGCCCAGATTCTTGAATATAGTATCATCCAAGCATGGATGGACGATTGAAAGTGCATATTGCTCCTTTCTTCTTACATGGAAATGGACAGAATCCTAAGCCCGACCAGAGTAAGTATAGATTCTGAATTACAACTGCTGCTTCTCCCGGGGACTTGGTTTGTGCTGCCAACAACTTAAATTTATACTGCTATGGGGGAAAATGTACCTATCTTAATCAGAAAATGTTGCGACTTTTGAGATATTATATTTGCAGATTAAATCTAGGTGAGGAGGGTCTTTAGATGAACAATTAAACAGCATAGAGGAAAAGCATGCATAACCATTATGAAATATCATGCACCTGTGGAAATGCAATTTAGTCCCCGAACTGAACAACTGTCGACTCCATGTCACTCAGGAACGCCAGCGTACTGCAGCCCACCGCGGCGAAGTTGTTCTTGATCTGAGAGAACACAAGTGGACTTCCTTCCAAGCTAACCGAAGCATTGGTATTTCCTGCACTGCTGCAGTTCGAGTATATGATCGGAGAGAGGACGCGAACGATGCCTTGTTCTTCTTGATAAGTCGCCACCTGCCAGAGTGACCTCCAGAACGTTCCAATCCCACACTGGCCAGGAACGGGCCCTCAAAGTCGCATTTGATCTCAAACCATTTGTTGAGATAACAGTTTTCTCCAATTCTAAATGGGAAAGGAATCGCAATGATTCTGCAGTATTGGGAGCAACTTGGCTTTGCTAGAGACGCCGTGGCTTGGGCCGATGCGTTGTGCAGTAGGAATGTCAGGAAGAGAATGGAGCGGAAAAGCAAATGGACCACCATTGCCAGAGGCACACACGCATGTTATTTCTCCAGCACCATCATGTAGAAGGAAGGAACTCCCTCGCTCAGTTATGAGCTCGAAGACGGGATTCGAGCGGTAGACGACAGAAGCTAGTGCACAACACCATTTGGTTGTTAACCAAAATGCCATGAATAACCCAGTGACAATGGCAATTATTGACCCTAAATTTTACCTTAAGAAGCTAGGGATAGAGTGCCATATCAGAGGGGAAAAAACAAAAGACATACGAGAAAACAGATGTCCTGGAAAATGGCAAATACTAGGAATGAATTCTTAAAAATCTTCATTGACAAGAGAAAGAACTAAATAATTCTTCCGATCAAGTACAAGCTGGTACTAGCTATTCAGCACCTAATTTTCACCTCATTAGCCACGCATAGGACATCCACCAAAAACAATTCCGAATCAATAGAATACATGTGAATTTCAAATTTCAACCAATAATAGAACTTTATTTCTTCCTAAAACCAATGATAACGACCTTAACACTCGCAAAAGGACCATTTAGGCGCGCAGTCCATGAGCGCATTGGTGCGATGATTCCTCACCAAGATTCAGTATCTAGAAGTGGATGAACATCCGGAAATGATATTAGATGCACATCTAGATCTGACCTCATGGATGTCCAAACATCATCCCAGCTGGTGTTGTTACTCGAAACATCAATGTCGCCGTGGTTTTGTACATTACGGGAAGGATTTCGCAACATTCGAATCCTCTCCAGCTCCATAGCTACTTCCTTCATTGAAGGTCGTCTCTTCCCCTTGAGGTCTAAGCATCTCTTTGCAAGGTAAGCAACTGCCAAGATCATCTCTTCTTCCTTACCTTGCTTCAAGACTTCAGAATCAAGAATATCAACAAAATGGTTCTCCTCGATGGAAAGTACAAAGTATGCTGCCAAACCTCTGTACTCTTCAGGCCTAACAATGGAGATTGGCATTTGACCAGTCAAGAGCTCCGCAATGACGACACCAAAACTGTAAACATCACTTTTGTCGGTAAACTGACATGACTGGAAGTATTCTGGATCAAGGTATCCAAAGGTTCCTCGCACTTGTGTTGTCACATGGGTTTGGTCGATCGCAACAAATTTGGAAATCCCAAAGTCCGCTATCTTTGCCCTGTACTTGTCGTCCAACATTATATTGGTTGACTTGATGTCTCGATGGTAAATCGGTACTGATGCAGAAGAATGCAAATAAGAAAGAGCCCAGCAACTTCAGCAGCAATTCTCAAGCGCATCTCCCATGAAAGCACGAGCTCGTTTTTTGCGTCATGTAGGTAGTGACTAAGTGTCTTGTTGGGGATAAATTCATAGACAAGAAGAGGTAGTTGCGTCTCCGGACAATAACCTAATAACTTGACCACATTTCGATGATTAACCTGTGACAGGATGACCAGTGTTCATTAATGAATTGCTCCACTTTCCCCACATTGGCGACCATTCCACAAGATCTCTTGACGGCAACAATTCTTCCATCCTCCAGCATTCCTTTGTAAACAGTTCCTTGACCACCTTGTCCAAGTATCCTCTCATTACTAAAATTGTCGGTAGCCTTCTCTAATTCCTTAGAGTTGAACAGTTTTCCATTTTTTACATGATTGCCGCCTTCACTGGAAGAAAGTTGCTGTTTCAGTAAGATACCACCATTTCGCTTGAAGAATCTTTCCTTCTGCTTTCGCCTCTTCCTCCTCTTCGTTACTCTGCATAACCTCCATAGAAGAAGAAGCAAAGCTATCGCAACAAGGCCCACGCCAATGCCTTATTTGGGAGCAAAAGAATCTTTAGTCAGTCAAAATCCTCACTCGCCCCAAATTGTCAAAAGCTACAAGATTCATGAGAACTGTTCCTTTTGATCCATTTTTTTTAGTGCTCAACTATTTTATCATTTTGAGTAATGCACGAAATCACAAAACATTCCATCTCCGTCTCAATTTAGTTAAAACTTGGAAAACTTTTCCTATCATTTTTACATTTCTAGGATAGCAGTTCTTTTTTTTTGGTAAGGACTAGGATAGCAGTTCTTTATGTCCTAAGAAGTAAAGAATGAAAGAGCCTATGTTTTCCTAGATCTCCTGTTGACCATTGCAGAGTGCCAGAATTTTGCTCCATTTACATGACAAGATGCAATGCACCTATCAAAGGACTATACGGAAGCATTTTAAAAGTTTGTAGTATACGACGGAATACCGATAGCGACAAATCTAACCACCCAGTCACGATCCACACATTCATAGGACCCTGGCCGATTCTCACGCATCCAAGGGCAATTGTTCAGTGTTGAATCTTTGCATTCGTCGACATCTGCACAATGAAAATTCTGGTCGCTCATCGACATGCCCTAACAGGACATCAGTTTTGCTACAAAAGATTTACACCGACAGAAGACCACGCCTTTTTAAAGGTTAGTTAGCTTTTGTTTTTAATGTCTATGCTCTTGCTGATTAATTATAACCAGTGCAAATAAGCCATGCTTCTTCTTGTTTCAAGAATCAACTCTTGAAAATGTGTATTGGTTGGGGCAAAACCCGACACGAAACACAAGTCAACACGATTCACAGATTGTTGTTTGCACAACTTTTACACGGCAACCTTCATTGATTGTTTCCACCAGACCATTGAAAAAGACTTAAGCAAATCGT